AAAAAGGGTTAACCAATTTGCTAAGCATTATTGTAACAACATCAATATTAAGTTGGTTTTTTTTATCTTTGAAAATAGGTGATATGTTTGGTGTGAAAGACCCTATCCTTCATGGGCTCCATACGTGTGTGGTTTATAAGTTTTTATATGTAGACTACAATGCCTGCTATATCAGCAAAACCTTTCTGCATTTATCCACACGCATGCATGAGCACTTGGTCAGTGATAGGTCCTCTCACATTTTCAGACATCTACATAATTCTCCACAATGTTACACTCTATATTCTGATGAGTGTTTTATCATCTTAAATCATATTTCCACAACTTTCCAACTTAAAATCAACAAAGCTATTCACATTCAATGGGAATAACCTACACTTAATCATCAACTTTATCATGTTAATTTAAAACTTTCCCTGTAAATACATACATCGTCTTGTTACTATTGTTTGTTTTGTCCAACCAGCATTGTGTTGCACACTTCAAATTCAACTTTGTACTTTGTATAAATCAGAACTGAAGATGACAGAAGAACCGTCGAAACAATACAAATATATTGCATACAAAACTAAAAGTTTCTCGAAATTCCTTGAAAGTCTATAAAAGCCAAGAAAATTAAGCGTAGGAGATAAATCTCGCCTGAAATTCCCTCTCCTTTATGGATATTTTAATTTATCATAAAATTATTTTACTACAAGTATGATGTCAAACTATAATTTGCTGTCCTAATAAAACAAAAATTAAAAAATACATGAGGTTCAGCAGTGGTCATTCCACGAGTTGCCTCTTCACGTCCGCTGTTCCCAGGTCAAATTGGAATTGATGAGATCTTGTCTAAAAGGAAATCGTTAACCCTGATTATGTCAGAGGCTCAAATGGCAACTGACATCAACAGGAGGCAAAAACTACTTAAAAACAACAGGTTCATCAGTTAGATTTTGATGTAAACTAATATTGGTTACCTCAAAATCAGGGAACTAGAAGGTTGATTAAGATGTAACATTTGGATGGTATGCCATTGTCGCAAGGCCGCCGTAAGGTCAATTTCTTCTTCAAACGAAAGTTAACGTGATCGGTAAGGTAAGTATCAATCAAGTTGCTGATAGGTATCATAATTAACAGGCCATCATTGCCACATCACAGTCTTGATATTCTGCCGCCATGTTTTCACCTCTTTCTTAACTTGTTCCCAGTGTTTCTCGGGTAATAGATCTGAACGCGTCACGCTACACGTGAAAAAAATGTGTAGCAACACGCATTGAACGAAAATGAGAGATAACGATTCGGGAATTAAATTTTTTAAAACGCATTTATCGATTATTGATCTAGGAGGAAATTGTACTAGTTTCCTTCCTAATTTAGTCTGGAACGAAGAATCACAACGGCTCTGCTGGCGCGAAACCTGGCTGTATCATTGTCTTGTGTCTCACACTGTTTCCTCCCCCCCCTTCCCCAACCTAAGAGTATGATTAAGTACCAGTAAAGAGTTAGTCAAACCGGAAGAAATGCTGGGAGGGGGTGGACATGTGATGAATCTCCATCCTACTCAGGGGGAGGGAAAATACTCACACACAAGTGATAAAAAAATTCAGGCCCAACCAAGGAAGAGAGGTAATGGGATACTGTTTACCATGTCACTTTAAGTAAATGACTACCTTTCGAGGCAGTACTGTACTTAAAACGTCTTATTTCTATGAATTAGTACACTTTCCTGGAAATTTTAAAATTGAAATTGCTTTAGAAGGCAGGGAAACAGGCATTTCCCAGCTGGAGAGCCCACTTTGGTAAATAAAAATTGTCGTGACAGGTGCCGGAGTGGAAACGCGCGAGGAAGGAGGAGATGGTAACAAATCTCACCAAAGTATTTCTATTGTAGGGAAACTTCCAAGCGGATCGAAAACGACACGCGTTCCTACCTGACGAGACTGACAGTGATCTGAGCGAACAAGAAACATGCAAAATTCCTCTAGGAGCCAACAAGTGTGAAAATGTCAAAAAGACTCAGGATATAATTGGTTTTTCACTAGGTAAGTATTGTGATATTGATGGATCACGATAGCTAATCGATAAATTTAGTTGACCTTGCATGGGATGCGGTTTGCACGCCTAGGAGTGAAGTCACTCAGTTTAAAGGTGACGGGGCTTGGACAACATGGCAGTAGGGAAACGTGAGAGGAAAGGAACACACATTGGAGGAGAGGAAGACATTCTGTATCTACCTTGCGTGACTCCGCGCACTCAAGTATCTAATACTTTTTTCATCCTAACGGTGACGTGGTTAAGACAATTGAACGCAGTAGAGACGTCTCAGATGTATTTTGATTTGGACCAAAAAGCGGACATGGCAGAGCACTACGTCCCTTTCGCGCATGTGCAAAGGAAACATAAGACGTCTGGACATGGAGTGTCAGAATTCTTACAAGGAAATCAGAAGTTTTCCTTTACTTGTTCTCCTTTATCAAACGTTTTTCTTTCAGAATACCAGGCAAGGGAAATAACTCGGTGATGTACATGTAGCGGCCTCCTACCAATTTTTTAAGGCTATTAATTCAAGAAAATTTTACCCAAGTTCGCAAGTATCATTGAGGAGAATCATATTTTTTTTTTTCTTTATAGTCTTCTGCTTTTCTCCGACTACACATTTTACATTTTATAAAAAAAATTTCGTGGACTTTGCCTCGCATTCCAGTCACCTCACACGCCAGGTCACGTTTTTGGAACGCATCCGGAACTCGTGGCATTAAAGATAAGCTTCGTCTGTTCACGTGCAAAAATATCCCTAATTGTTTTTATGTTTGTTTTCTTCACTTGTTTGATATGCGTGGTACAGGACTGGTACGTCCATTAGATGATGACAGCCTCTTTCAACGCGTGATTAACCCTAACCCTAAGCAATTACTGGGTTGTGTTATACTAAGAGACATGACGGATCGCTCATCAAGTGACTAACAGGCAAATTTGTCGAAGTTTTTAGTCTAAAAGCGAGGAGGTCGATTTCGTGAGGTTAAGGTCCGTTTGTAAACTGACGGGGGTCTAATTTAACTACGTATGCGATCAGTCATCGACATCACCGTGGAAACAAAACACTTTCTCGAAGTCGATAACTCGTTTACGAAATTTATTCTAAACATATATACTCAAAGAGTTTCCCATCTCTCTCACGAAACGTGGTGTGAGTTTCGTGGCGATGGAATGCTCTTTGAAAAGACGCACACACTTAATGCTACCGAATTAATGATTAACCAGAAAGTGCGTTAACTGAAGATATGTTCACAAATGATACTGTGCAAAATCTAGGTCTAAAGGGGCTGAAGGTCGGTATTCAAAGCGAAATATTCACGCGCAGTTGTTATTCATCCGTGTCGTAGAGGCAAGTCCAATCACGTGGGCAACAGCCAATGGTGACACTAGAAGTGTTTTTAATTAATACATCACCTTGGCTTGCTCCTGTTAATTAGTCACCCGCCAGTTAGCAACGAGTAGTTGCTTGGGAGGCACTATAAACGCCGTCTAGTTTAATATTTGACTAGCTCCAACATCTACAACAGAACTGACTCTCACTGAATCACTTCAAAATGGCTAACGTTACCGCACTCAGCAACGACATTGACGCTTTGCGCGGAAATCTTGATCAGTTCTTTTTGGTGATCATGGGATGCCTCATTTTCTGTGAGTATATTATTTTAGATAGTATTGTCAATTTTTTCCCCTTATTTTGCTGATACCTTGTGTGTTGTGCGAAAGGTATGTGAAAGTTTTGAAAACTAGAATCTCTGTTTGCAAATTAAACTTTATTCCTCCATCAAGTGGGGGAAAGAAGCCGGCTAAAATTTACGCAACGACTTCCGCACGCATCAAAACACACTTCCTAAGGAATGAGAAGAACGTGTGTAATTAGATCTTCACCGGGTTTTTAGAGATATATGTCCTGAACAACTGGATGCAGCAGAAATTACCTCTGACTAATGCATCAAGGATTTCCCTTTGTTAGTAGACATACACCAGTGTATTAAACATGTATAATAGCACAATCGTACACTGTTTTTTCAGCATTTACATAATTTTGACGAGTTAGCGCAAACAATCGCACTGTTTTCACGAGTACTATGAAATTAGTAAAACCACGGAGATTGCAGGTGATACAGTGAAAACAGACGGAGATATATAGCCCCGGAGAGTCTAAACATTCTGTAGACGTATGTAGTATGGAAGAGGGCAATTAAGTTTGTGCCCTCAACCACATAAATATGGCGAATTATTGAGCCATACCCTCTTCATTTGATATTTCACGAAGCTCTTTCAAGCAAAATCAGAGTATATAACCCAGTGCTTACATGAAGATGTCTAAAGATAAGTAAAATCGCTAAAGGGTCTGCATTGAAAAGCAACATTGACGTAAGAGGTCAGATGAACAACAAGCATAACGAGAGCCCGAAGCGAAGTTATTTTCAAACACACTCTTAAAAGTTATCTCTTTGAGATCTCAAACGTGACACTTCAACCCTGAGTTTAAGGAAAGAACGACTGCTGTCAAAAATGATTATCACAGTTAAAAGAAAATTCTCCGAGATGATTGGGATTTTACTCACAAACGGATCCCGACCATTTCCTATTTGCATAGACAGCGTGGTTGTTTACAATCGCACATCCTTGGAATTAAATGTCTCAGCGATAAACATTGATCTAATTTAAGGGTCTAAACTACCAATATGAAAAGCGATGACACACTCTGCAGACTCAAAAATATCAAAAATTGTTCCCGGTACGAAATAAATGTTGCTTTCAGCCATTGATGTTAAAAGAATGTCGGGTGAAATTCCGGACTAAAATGACTTAAAAACAAAAAAAAAAGAATTGAGTTTAGAATTCCTTACATTTCAGTACAAAAAAATAATCTTAATAATGGAAGGAGGAATAAGTTAAGATAACCAGAGGAAATGGGAAACTTGACTTCAGTTCAACTACTTAAATTAGCCAGAATTAATTTTTCCCCTGATAATAGCACTATTGAAGATTGATCAGTTTCAATATAGTTATGAAATCATCTGTTATGGTTTTCTCAGTTCAAATCAAAAGTCATTATTTTACTGAGTTAGCGCCTTGAATAAATGTGGTGGGATATTGGTAAAGTAAATTAAGCCTGCATATTTATCTGTTTATCACCACTGCGAAATGAACACCTGTCTGCAGAACTTAAAACTGTTTGCTTTATCAGTAGAAAGGAAAGCCAAAACGGACTTGTTGAATTGGAATTATGTTGGAAGTACCAGAGGCAAACCTTTTTCATGGATGCAGCATGTGCACTAAGCACATCTGCCTTTTTCATCAATGTATATTTGTTTAAATTTTCAAGTCTCAATTAAAAAGCAATTAACATTTCTGAGTTCTTAATGGACTTATGAACTCTCCTTATCTCAGAAAGCATCTATAAAATTCTCTTTTTTTCCTTTGTGCACCAGCTAATAGAATTCTTTACGGTTTTGAAAATATTGAGATACAAAACATTGACTGTTCCAACCAGAAATGGTGATTATGCCAGCCGACTGATTGCAGATACTGTATTTTTGTTGCTTATTCACTTTGCCATTTACTGCTCTGTTAATAAGCTACAAAGTAAAAGTTTTCTTTACTGGGCATAATTATCATTAGTTTCTAACTTTTTGCTCCAGCTTTAGGGGTTAAGGGTTAGAGTAGGCATGAAAAAATGAAGCGACCAAAAAAATCGTATGTTTTATGGATCAAAACCGTTGGAAAACTTGCGTTATGTTGGGAGAGCCAGTTTTGAGTACAAGTTCGAGCAAAATGGTGGGTAAATTGGGTTCCAGGTTTGATTCAATTTGCTAAATTGATAGAATCATAAACACGAATAAATGATTGGTATGTCAATAATTTAATTTTATTAAGAAATGCTTCACATTACTGAAAGCCGGTGTACGATGAAGAGAATGATGGTCTGTTACACAAGTACTACATCAGATTTGTTTTCATTGTAAAGATACTGGAAACATTTCAAGTTCGTTAACTCACATATTAACTTAAAGTCTGCTGACATTCATTCAAAATCAACATCTTTTATGTCTTATCATGACCTTGAGTATAATCAAATCGTGGTCAGAGGCAATGCTTTTGTTTGGCTATTGAAAACAACAAAACAGTCTTAAGTGTTTATTTAAGATGCACTGAGCTGGAACAACTAATGAAAATCATGAAATGGATGAAAAACCTATCAAGAAACCCAGGTATATATAAAAAATATTGGATGAAAACATGAGAAAAAATTTACGATCCGTTTTTTTTAAAAGACCGATACGAGCTTTTACTTTGTAACGATGTACCGAATAAGTGGAACTCTGTTTATTTGAATCTAATTTTAGATTCACGGCGTTTTTGGAGTCTCAATTATCCAGATCAGTAGTCTCGTACACTCAGCCGAAAGTTCGAGAAACTAACTAAAAGCAGACATCAATTTCAAAATGCATACTATTTTTCCCTTTCATCTCTACCTTTACCCAACTGCCACTGTTTTCTTCTTAACAAAGAGTACTCTTCCTCCGCAAGTGAAAATTTACACCTAATTGTGTTTTTGCTGGTGTCCTTTCTTTCTTTCTTTCTTTCTTTTTTTTTTTTTCTTTTCTTTCAACGGTTGTCGTTTGTAGTTGAAAACGAAAAAGATATGATCTCTACTTCTCCCTTCGAAAGCATATTTATAACGATGGTTTATATTCATTCCTCATTCTGATTTAACTTGTGATTATTTCAGTTATGCAGGCAGGATTTGCATTTCTTGAGGCTGGGTCAGTGAGATCAAAGAACACAACAAACATCCTCATCAAGAACGTTCTAGACGTATGTAAGTAGTGACTAATTTTTCGTAGGTAGCTTTAGAGAACGGGTCCAACGATTAAGTAAAGAGAGCTGGAAAATGTGATATTACAGTACTTATTTTGCAAACAATTTCATCATAGAACAGAAAAATAAAAATGATTTCTTGGCACTTGCCGTCCTATTGCTATCCACTGAATTCCTTTTTGTTTATTTTGGTTTACTTCAAACAGTTATTGGTGCAGTGGCTTATTGGTTGTTCGGTTACGCTTTTGCCTTTGGAGGAAAAAGCAATGGCTTTATTGGACATGAGTATTTCGCGCTGGCAAATTTACCAGCTGACAAATACTCTCATTGGTTTTTCCATTTCGTTTTCGCGGCCACAGCAGCAACAATTGTCAGTGGTGCCATGGCAGAGAGAACTGAATTTAAAGCCTATCTTATTTACTCAATGTTTTTGACCGGTGAGTGCAGGACTAGTTGTTTTCAAGTCGTAGGGTTCGTTAGATAACGAGGACACACACCTTTAAATCGACTGCTTAAACAAAACTTGAGAGCAGGTTTTTGGTAAACTAATTGTCTGGGTAGCCTCCTTTTAAAAACTTTAAAATGTAGATACAGTAGCAGTGTTGAGGAACCGTAGCACCAGTTAAGATGACGCTCTTTTTTGCAGGATTTTTGTACCCAGTAGTCACTCACTGGGCTTGGGATGGAAATGGTTGGCTGTACAAGGGTGCGGAGTACACTGACGGCAATGTAACCTTATCTGTAACATACCAGGTAAACCGCTGAAAATCTGAAATGTCCATTCACTGAAATCGCACAATTTGGTTGATAAAATGTGAAAAGTTTGTGTTCCAAAACATAACGTAACACAATTGGTATGGGATCTGAACAGGGGTTAAACAGAGTTCCACTGACTTGCAAACTTCACCGACTGAGCCCTTTTGTATTATTTTAGGACTTTGCTGGAAGTGGGGTTGTCCACGCAGTGGGTGGAATGGTTGCTCTGGTCGGTGCAGCTGTCGTGGGGCCCAGAATCGGACGTTTTGATGGTGGTGCACCAGTGCTTCTGGCAGGACATACTGTACCGGTAAGAAAACTTTCATCTTCGCATATTTTAGGGAAATATTCTATCTTTGGACTTTCTGTCTTGTAAGTAGTGTTTGATAAGTGGAGTCAGTCTCTCTTTGTAATTTCATAGAAAGCAGCTCTGGGAGGATTCATCCTGTTCTTTGGTTTCCTGGCATTCAATGGTGGCTCCCAAGCAGCCATCGCTAATGAAGGCGATGCTGATGCTGTAGCATTATCCATAGTCAACACCATCCTCGGAGGTGAGCCAGACTCCACTAAATCTTCCATGATTTCTTTTCTTATCATTTCTTATAGAAAAAAATGCATATAGTCTTCTTCTATCATTCAGGAGCCGCAGGTGCTCTTACTGCCATGATTGTCAAACGCCTGGGCTTTGCAGAAAAGTACTGGAGTTTGCTTTTCACCATTAATGGCGGACTAACTGGAATGGTAAGGGAAACAGCTTGGGATTGTATTCAGTCAGTTCTAGACAAAGTCTTCTGACAACACTGTTTTGCCCCACTCCCGATTGAGTGGTCCAGAATTAGGCCTCTGATCTTGAACAAAACATGTTACTCTCTGCAAACTTTTCTCTGTTGTTTAGGTTGCAATGTGCGCAGGTTGTAATGCCGTTCATCCCTATGCTGCTTTGATCATTGGAGTCATCGCAGGATTGGCGTACGTGGCTTGGAGTACTTCCATGCTGCGGCTAAAAGTTGATGACCCTTTAGATGCTGTGGCTGGTAAGTGACCAACCATTAAGCACATGAAAGTTCGCTCGCTATTCTTACGTTTTAAACAAAATGAAGTCGTTAGTAGAAGCTGTGATACCCTCAGTGTTAGTATAACTAGCATTGTCATGGGCTGCCGTGCCACCAAAACCTGTACGAACAAGAGCAAATGTACTAGGGAAGTAAATGTTGTTCCACAGCTGCTGCAATCCAAATGCAAGCAAAGCAAACTTTTTAAGTATTTTCATTTCTTTTCAACAGTTCATCTTGGTGGTGGCCTGTGGGGCGTACTTTCTGTCCCCATCTTTAACAAGGAATCTGGAATATTTGTAAAAGGAAACAAGCTTGCATTCCGTGCGTTTGGCTGGAACTTGCTGGGTGTACTCGTCATCATAGCCTGGTCTGCAGCGTGGGCTATCATTTTATTCTTTGCTTTGCATCTCCTCAAACAACTTCGCGTCAGTGAAGAAATCGAGTTGAAAGGTAAATACTTTCACTGCATTAAACTTAAGAAAAAGATTGAATAGAAAAATGGTGGCCTTGTCTTGAATAAATTTGATGAATTACGTTTCTGAGTGGAGTAAATATTGAAGACGAGTACTTCCATGTTAAACGTGTAGAATGGTATTTGATTGTTTATCGTGGTACCAACTTTGATCAAAATGATTCTTTAACATGATGATATTTCACCATTTCGTCAACATTTAGGATTCCTTTTGCTTTCCTTAGGTCTCGATATTCCCAAACATGGTGAGCCCGCATACCCACTGTCCAGTTACGGAGATGGATGGTCAGAATCTCCATCAGCGCCTCGACACAATTTCCCGTATTACCAAACGAATGGCGCTCCCCAGACTGAGGAAGTCAGACCTAATCAGGAAGGTGGTGTTCATAATCCCGCCGTTGTCAACGACAAAGACACTCAGTTTTGATGTTGATCACGGAAATATTGAAGTGCAAGGCTTTCGTTAACAATTTCGCAGCTTCTAAATTCAAGTGCCATATTTCGGTGGCAAATAAGAATCCACTCAAAATTTTCGACTATCATCCAGGTGATATATCTTCACTGCAGTGCATTTAATCTGTGAAACATATTTTCACGGGCCACTTGATCATTGGTATCAAGATAAATTCTAATAAATTCGATAAATATCAGCAGACTGAAAATAGTAGTCGTTCGTATAACATTCATCACTCGCTGTAACTTCTCTGGTGACTTTATATTGAGACAAAACTTATAGTTATGCATTGTCGACCTATGTCGGAGAAATGGATAGACTTTAAGAGCTTTTAGAGTACGAGGAGGTTATTTGGCCCGACGAATGAAAATAATTGTTTAAAAGAATCTGTTTCTAGGTTTAGGTAAAGAACGCTAGGAGACGTTTTTCAACTATACGCTTTTTGCACAGAAATACAATTTAACCGATTAAATTACAATAGCTCAGTCTTTCCCTGTTGTGCAGATGCATAGCTCGGTATGCACGAGGATGTACGATTCCTTTATTTCATCAACTTCTGAATTTCTTGTATACTTGCATTAAGAATAAAACGTTTCTAAACAGCACAGGAGATTCAGGTGTAGGTGGACTAAATATCCTCATCATCAAGTTTCAAGTCGTGGTTCCATGATTACAGTTTATTCATCTGCCAAACACTCCTTAGAAATGAAATGAAACGTCACTCATAATATAAGCCCACTCGCCATCTTAAATTCGCAACCGGGAGTTTCCTCCAGGAATTCACAGTTTTATACATTTGAAGTTTTTTTTTTTTTATCTTTTTTTTGTCCTTATCCGGAAACTTTGGAGCTCAAAAAGGGAAATTTAGGCTTGACGTCTAATGATCCCTCCCGGTGTGAGAAGCTTAGGGTGTACTTCTTACAACTACCTGTTTGACATGATAAACATACGTAAACCGACAAACTTAAACTAACACTTTCACAGAGATGAAAATTATTGTCCCGTACATATCTTACTCAAGCCCAAAATCTTCACTTCTTTTAGCTACATCGCTAAAGGTAATTTTCGGAACATAAGGCATATGCGCAGATAGAAAATCATTTTTCAAGAGCTTTTGTTATTACATGACATTACATAATGTTGAATGATAGCTACTGGCACTTTTATGGTATGAAACATTCAAACTTAAATTTATACTTTCACAAAATTTCAGTCCAAATCCACTGGGTGTCAGCAGAAAAAGTTAAAGGAGATATAGGTGTAGTGATTACAAAAAGGTACCATACTCACAGTAAATAATGGACTCCCACGGAAAAATCAGTCGCCCAATGATTTCTCAGGCGTTAAAATTTGCAACCAAGTTACAGCCAGGTTCTTTAGACTTTGCACTAGATGTTAACTATTTTTCTTTTTGATTAAGAAAACCATTTTTTGTCAGCTCACATGAAATTTTTGCGATGGATCCTACATATGACTAAACGAAGAAATCGGAGTGCCTCCCGAACAGTTCCGTAGACAAATAAAAGATTTAATATGTGAAAGCACAAGAGAAGCAATTGACTGCCGAATTATGCGGCGTCGCTTATCATTTCGTTCACGTGTTGCAGAGTGTTTTTCTATCTTGCATAAATAAAAGAGCGCGTGGACCCCAGACTTTGACCCTTAATGATACTGACTTCTAAGCTGTATATTTTGTCAAATGTTTCACTTGTTTTTGAGTCAAATCGTGAGAACAGCCAAGTGAAACGACTATAGAAATACAGCCCTTGAACACATCTAGCAGGGGCTGCGAGACATGAAAGATCTCCAGAAGATGGGAAGATGGTTACGCAGGGACTATCATATATTGCGGAACATGAACTATTCTTTAATTTTGGCCAAGAGAACGTTACGACTGATGTGACGAGGTAGGTGGTGTAGTGGGCTCCGTGGACATATAATTATTAAATCCGGTTTGACCGGTTTTCGACAAAAGTGATTTCTCAAAACAACACGACAGTGATATGCTGATTTCTTTGTCTCAAGTGGATCACGGGTTTCAAGAGGGTTACAAATATCGAACACCGGCTATATTGGCTCTTATTAAGCAATCTAGCTATTTTAACGCATTTGTGTACTACGTGAAATAGGTCTTGCTTGTATCGATCGTTGGCGAGTGGCACAAAACAGGACACTTTATATGTATTTCCCTTTTGATTTAAGTTTAGAATGCAAGTTATTTTGACAATCTCTCCATAAAAACACGGAAGTTGACATTTAGGCTCTTGAGCGTGTAACGATAAAGATACATCCGATAGCTTGGAATCCCAAAATAAAGTACAAAAATGCAAAGCAATTCCACCCTCTATAAAACTGCTTCGTTTTTTCTGAGAAGGTTCAGTGATAGATTTGTCGAAAAGAAACGTTTGTAAACTCACATGTTCCATACAATTTACGTGTAGTATTGCATAGTGAGTCGTCGTACACAATGCTGCGAATCTAACCTAGCCGCCTGGCCACTGCAATTCGATTAGATACATATTTATTCTCTATTAGCCTTTTCAGCGTCTCAATGCGTCTAATTTGGTCCCTGTTGGTGATCAAGGGCAGATAATGAAAAACCTTACTCAATTTTCCGACAAAACAACCGAAACATTGATAAATAGAAATAAAGGAATACAAACAACAACTGATAAGTGGAAAATCATTCGAGAAAAAGATACGAAACAGACGACTCTGTAGGACGCATCGTTTACATAATAATGGTATTTCAAGCAAAAGATAAGATCTTTTCGATAGGAGGCTCAAACCAAACGCCAGAAACAGAATCTAGAAAGGAACGGAAGCAGACATTTTGGCTCACCAACTTCTGCAAAACAACAATTCATCAATATTTGAAAGTGATGTTATAAATTCGAAAACGATGAAAAATGCCTGTTACATTCCATGAGGTTTTACGTGAGCTGAAGCTCTTACGATCTGACGCATCACCTGGCCCTGACCTAATTCTAGCAAATTTTTTAAAACCTATTGCTGAATATATTGCGAGCCCTCTAACAGACATAATAAATTAATTGATAGAATTATGCGACTTTCCAGATAAATGGAAGCAAGCTTGTATAGCTCCAATCCAAAGTTGGATAGTCCTCAAGATAACAATGATTTTCGACCAATCTCTGTATTGCCTGTTTTGTCTAAAATCTACGAGAGGCTTATTCACAACCAAGTTGATGAGTTTTTGGAAAATCACCATCTCCTTGAAGATAACATTTCTGAATTTAGGAAAAGCCACTCTACAACATCTGTTCTATTAAGTATACAAGATGACATATTGAAAGCGATGAACCGGAGCGAATGCACTTTGCTCGTCTTAGCTGACTTCTCGAAGGGTTTTGACACTGTAAAGTAAAGGTCTGTCCTTGAGAAAATGAATGCTCTTGGATTCTCAAGGTCATACCTTAAATGCACTGTCAAATACTTTTGTGAATGACAGCAGTTTGTTCAAATCGACGACCGTATTTCAAAATCTGTTAGCATTAGCTTAGTCCCACAAGGCTCAATCATGGGTCCTCTCATTTTTAACATATATATTGCTGATCTGCAAGGGAAACTTGATTGTGCCTGCCATCAAAATGCTGATGCATTTATCAAGCATCGAAGCCTGGTGAATTTACATCTTGCATTACCTTAGTGTAACGTAATGTGGATAAAATGCAATGCTAGGCGAACGAAGCGAAAGCTAGCAAAGCGAAGTACTAGTTATTATCTTCCAGTAAACTTTCTTCTGATCACGAACTTAACAACACTGACATTGACCTAAGAGTTGGAACAACATCTTCAGAGCGTGTATCTTCGGCAAAACTTTTAGGTACCTACATTGACCACCACCTTAAATGGGAAGAAAATGTTAAGCAAGTCTCAACCTCTTGCTATTGCACTCTTGGAATCTTAAAGAAATTTTCTTTCATTTAATGATCATAAGCAGTTAGTTCAGGCCTTAGTACTTTCCAAGTTGTATTATAATTGTGTTTTTTATCATTACATACCACATTACTTTATTAAACGCCTACAAAGAATTCAAACAGCATGTGCGAGATTTGTTGTAGGTAAATTTGTTGAAAGAGAGGATATCATAAAGCTAAATTGTTACCCGTTAAAGAACATATTGAATGGTAGTTGTTAAAGTCATTTCATAAGGCGATTGGCGATGAATGAACGGCCAAGTAACTTGCGACTAAAGCAATTTGAGCACAATCGAACTCTGAGGTCCAGTGCAGCTATCAGTGCAGCTTAAAATCCCACTGGTATCACACATTTATCAAGATCAAGCTGCAGGTATTTTACCTGAATGTTCTCTAAAATTACTTTTCAGCATTTGATGAAAAAGGTCAAAGATAACCTTTCAGCTCGATGTAGTTTTTACTTTACATTTAGCAGATGAATTTTTAAGCAGATGTATTTTGCAAATGAAGAGCCACCTTGTAGAAATGTTGAATAAAGCCATTACTATTATTATTATTATTATTGTTATTATCATTATAGTTATTATTATTATTATTATTATTATTATTAAGCGAGAAGCTAACACACTTCACATGAAAAAAACGCCGAATAAGGAGCATTGACACCATTCATGTCATTTTGTGCTGTTTCAGGGATAATGACACTACTCAGAGGCTATGTATTTGAACAAAAATGTAATTGCCAATTTACAATAGTAAATTACTGTATTATTGCTATGTGGCCATGCAGAATATTGTTATACAATGATATCTATTTTTATATCGCACATTTAAATTTACGGAAATAGTCAAAAGGTCCAAATAGAAGCTGATATGTAACGAATTTAAGAAAATTAACGACACTTTTAGAATTCAAAAACATGTTTCGACAGTTCTTCTGTCATCTTCAGTTCTGGATGATACAAAGTACAAAGTTGAATTTACAATGTGTAACAAAATGCTGATTGGACAAAACAAACAATAATAACAGAACAATGTATGCATTTACAAGGAAAATTGTAAATTAACATGATAAAGTTGATGAAAAAGAGTAGGTTTCTCCCACTGAATGTGAATAGCTTCTTCGATTTTAAATAGCCTTATTTTAGGAAAGTGTAGTTTTCGTACGTATGACTACATTGCAATCAAAAGCAGCCATTTTCGTATAATCAGTTGTTTTAGTATCTCTATTTTACCTTTTGTTTTGTGGAAGTGACAAATGTAGTCTGTTTTTGTTCATAGTAGTTGCACTAAGTTGATCGTAGCAATGATGGCGGTCAATGTTACATTTCTTAACTACATACAGCTTACACCTATTTTCATAGTCAGTGTTGCAGGAAGGGCTAGTTTCCTCTCTGGGGACTGTAGCCCACACTGCAGGGCCTTATCCCTATCTCTATATGAGGCATGAAATGACCTGGAGCATTGCTCAAACACCTGGATGGGATGCTTCTCCATTTTAGGCCTGTCGAGTATTTCGTGAGGTTTGACTGGAAGTTTGCAGTTACTCATGTAAACTCCCGAGTGTAAAGAAGTGGTGTATCTTACTCAGGAACACCTTGTCTCCGGCGTCGCCTGGCAAACGGGGAATCAAGTGAATAAAGAGCCTTCGAGGGCATTATAATCCAATGTTAACAAGCACAAACTTGTAGCTTTAAAGGATGGGTAACAATCGAAAGAGTTAGGTTCTTAGATGGAATCCACATCAGCTGTTTACAGCTGTTTACATCTGCTATGTAGAGAAACTCAGCTGGAAATTTTGTTCATTAAATATTATTATTCGGCTGCCTTTGAGAAAAATCTAGCCTTGAGGAGTCATGCAGTGATCCAACCTTTGATAAAAGAAAGAATGCTTAAGAAGACCCGAAGACACAAGGCTTGCTATTAGTAATGCATTGTATGTTTCCTTAAAGTTCAGCGAACCTTTACGATGTAAACCATGCAACAAAAACTGACTTTAATAACGCTCCATTGAGCACAAACTCTGTATCATTATTCCCTCCAGGTGGCAAGTGTGTCCAAACTTGCATTACCCTGCAAGATCTTGGGAATACTTCTCAATATTAGTAAATGCAATTTACATTTGAGTTTCCTATCTTCTATTATATCATAACCAAAACATTTATTATGCCAAGTTTTCAAAGGTGCGATTTAAAATTCGCTTTCAAAATTATGTGAGTACATCAGGATCATGGTCGTTCTTAATTTTCATCAAACACAGTCGCTGGTCGCTAGTTACCAGAGATGATATTTTCGATTCCTCTGTTTCGTAACTTTGGAAGCAGTGACCAAAAAACCTCAAACGCGAGCCACAACACTTAGAGTGTATGAAGCTCATAGTTACTTTTGGGAACAATAAAATCTTGAAGTAGGCAAATACAGTCTTAAAATCTATTGTCAGTCCATCTTATTCTACAAAGTTCTTATTTTTTTCTTCATAGTTTGAATACTAGTGATTTTATGCCTAAATTTGCATCTAAATGCAAGTGGAAAAACATTTTTCCTTTCATATCGACAGGGAATCTAATGCACCTAAAATGTAATCAGGGAGCGACTTGTATGAAATGTTTCGGGGAGTAATTTCACAAAACAGGAATAAATTTAAAGCTAATAGAGATTGTCAATAGCAACGAGGAAAGACGTCATTTCTTCCTTCAAATAGGATACCTGAAAGCACTGATCAATCTAAAAGATATGTACGTGTTTGAATATTTCTTTACGTCAGCTTTTGAAGACCTGCAAACGTGTCTCGTGGGCAAATGAGAGGCGCTTAGGGTTGTGCTGCTAATCAGCGGACAAGTATAAACAAAAGATGCTACGCCATCGAGCGGATACCACCAGATTTTTAAGATAATAAAGTTAGCCACCTTTCGAACAAGAAAATGAATCTTTTAACTGGAGATCTGTTATATTAGCTTCGACCAGCAACAGATTGTAAAACGGAGACAATTACGACAAATTCTGTTGACGTAACGTGAAACTTGAGAGATGCCAATATTACGCGCTATTCCATCAAGTACAAATTTACATACGAAAAAGAGCTACGTAACAGGCTATCGTACAACAAAGGTGATGAACGACTCAGTCGTTAGCTACTTGTAAACTATTCTGATGTCTGACAGTTCTTAACAGTCAACACAACAGCTGCTCCCCCACCAAAATCTAAAGTTGTGCTGAATAACAACTTTGTGATAAGATCACGTTTTCCGTTTCGTGTCAAGAGATTGAGTCCAATACAATGCCTCCCTTTTTTTTTCAATTTGAAACACTGTGATTGGTTCAGATCAAAAATCAAGCGGAAAGGTATTACTGTGTTTACACAATGACGCTTATTTTATGAAACTAAAATAAAATCGTTATACCGTGAAGCCGGTTTCACCGGTTTACGATATGAACGCTAACCCCACCTAAAACAGTTCCAAATAAGTTTTCTAGGGCAAAAAGAAAAGACTTTATCCTAGATCCTCTGTCTCATTGGCTGTCTATTTTTGCGAATAGGATTTTCCTGACTCCTACACCGTTCGCACTTTGTAGTGGTAAAAATTATTAGACCTTTTTACAGACTATAATATAGTTTTTTGCGTGTTTATCAAAAGGAAGGATGACCTTAAATTCGAAAGGAAATAAATGTGACGGCGTAGAGTAGAATTGACCAACTGTTTCTATTTTCTAAGTAGTGTGTGGGAACTTTGCATTCTTGAGGTTCAAAGTCTGTATTCTGTTTTGCTCGTGCATGCCGGAGAACAAATAAATCACGTGGCCAAGCTTAGCGACAAAACACCGACAGTTACATAATTTAATACGTTTTGTTACCCCAGTCATTGCACGGCTATCAATATAGACACGCAAGTTCTGACAAAGCTCTCCATATTTTCGTGTGTTCTATCAACTCAAATTACTTCAGCAGAAGCAGAGGTCAAAATGGCGAAGACGCCAATAGAGATTTTGCAAGGCAACCTTGACCAATTTTTTTTGATCATCATGGGCTGCCTTATTTTTTGTGAGTATGATTTTCTTCCTTTTTATTCAACATTATTCCTTCAGCCACTTTCTTAGTGCGTTCGTCATTTTTATCATCGAAATGAAAAACTCTACGAAGACTTACTAAAGTAGAATTTACGTCTGTATTCTACTGGGCCTGTTAAGTAACGTCTACATAATTGAATACATCAGAGCAGAGCACAAATATTGGATATATGAACGCCTTCAGCGACAAATTCCAGTGTCGAATATGAAGCGCACTTACGTTTTCTTGTCATAATTGTTAGAATAGATTTACCAGAACTTGCTCACATATCAACAACACGCCTCTATATTTGGCACACCGGTGGAACTTGGACCACTGAAACATGCGATGCGGAACGAGATTCGAAAAATCTCGCCGAAGAACTTCAATGACCTTGGCTTGAGTTTATACAAATAAGAGAAAAATATCCAAGTGAACTTGACGTAACCTGTCGTCGATATGAAACTGAGTCAAAACTATCAAAGAGAAATTTGAAAGAGTTTATAACCAATTGCAACTTAAATTCAGTGGACATTGTCTACAAAGTAAGAAACTTGCCGGCATTTTCAGGAAAACAGAAAAAAAACTTGTCCTAAGCTTTAAATAAGTGATAAACGCTCAAACCTTGTCTGAAGTTATGTCCAAAAATTTGAAAGTGCAGCTAGTAAACCTGCAGGTCTAGCGTTACCACAACAAATCCGAGAGAAGCTTGTCAATGAATACATCAAATTAAATCACAAGTCAGTATCTCTTAGCTTCTTTTACATGCTTTTAAACCGCTATGATCTGTTCAGTTGGGCGTGAATAACATTTCGCTTAGATCATTTTCAGCACAGATTGGTTTCAATAGGTCTGGTTACTATGAGTTTCTCTCTTTCTCTGTTCCTTTCACTGTAATCAACCAGCTCAAAGATTCTCTAGGACTGATAAACACAAAAGCGACTCATATCTCAGTTTTGCCGCAGTCGGCGAACCAACAAAAGAATGTCACTGCTAATTTTGTTCTCGTCTTTTTTTCGAAAGGGTGTTGTAGCTCATACGATTTCGTGACATAAGTAATATTTGAAAAAAATTGAATATGAGAGTGGTAGTACGGCAGACAAGGAGAAACCTTCTCATGGTATATATGGGTTCTTCCAACTTCTTTCACCAAAAAAAGATGAATGCGAAGGAAGCTGAAGTGTCTCTTTGGAGTTGACCTTTTGCATCACCACAACGGTGATTAAGAGGGTGCTGAGAATCTTGGTTGCAAAACTCCTTCTAGCACTATAAAATTGACATGTTCATGAAATTAAAAAAGCGGAAATGACATTGGATATTTTCTCCTTAACTCCTGCAAGTATATTACGCGTCTGACGACTGAATAACTAAAATAGGAACGCTTTTAGAACACGATGACGGTGCCAAAATGAAACAGTTTTGGAAAAATTCTTTGATGCTCTAGGCAATACTCAGGCTTTTAATGCAAGACAACTCGGCAACATCACATTTATCTAAGAAAAATTTTGTGAACTAAACAAAGTTTACGACGAAATAAAATCAGGCCAATATTTAGATTTAAGAGTGAGAAAGAGAGGTTTTATGTCATGTTGGCTGCCATCATGATGCTCTCACATACGTTCTCGCTCTTAAAAAGGTGGAATGGAGCAAGCTCTAAGTTCTTCATTTTTTGGTTTTTTTGGGGGGGAGGGAGAATGTAAAACAAAAACGCAGAACATAAATCCAGGGAAGATCTGTTTTCATCAAAACGATATTAAAGAAATGTGAAGATGATCAAATCAGGGGTTTATGAAGGCTATTTTTCACTCTCTTATACGATGTCAAGAATTCATCGATACTTAACACCACCCAGTATCAGCATAAGCGACTAACATTTTCAACGAAAACTCACAAATTGAGAACAGGAGACAAATAACATGATCGTAAAGAACTCGGCTTATAATTGACAAGACAAGCGCTGCAAAATTTAGGCAGCATAGGAGGCTAGAACACACAGGTTTTGTGAACAACGTCAGTCTCTTATTTTGTTTATCGATGCAACTCTTTGATGATGCTTCTCCGCTTAAGGTCGTTCGAAACTCAAGAGAAACTTACGCATGAAAGGATAGCATTCTCCTCTCCTAAGTTGTTCTTAGTCACCTTGGCAACGTCAAAACACAAATAAATCTAGAGCCTTCCTTATATCTGCGCCGGAAGCTGATCATAAGCTTGATAAACAATGGATATTTCAAGATATTTTTATCCGTATTAAGCATTGCCATAATGGCTTATTGCGAAGCCGACTATTATTTTGCTTATTAAAGTAAGGTGGAATTTCTGCCCCCCAAGTGTAACCATTCCGCCTACTCTAA